GAGAACTCAGTCTTTCTTTCTGTAGCATCTCTGACCATCAAAGGAGATATACTTTCTCCTGTCTGTACACTCGTACCTAGAGTAAAGGTGTGTTTGGATCTGAGGTCTTGATTTTATTTAAGCCATTGAGCTATCTGTGAAGTTTCTTTAAAATGGCTTTCAAAATAGCAAAGAATAGAGAGGCGTGCGTGCAAGTTCATGCACAAACTATAATTCATTTTTGCAGTTGGTGAAGTTCTTTGTCAATTAATGAGAGTTTTGTGGTATTTTAATGCTTTCAATGTCCTACTTATGACTTCTGATGCTGCCGAACTGATGCTAACACTTCGTCTTATCATCACCAGAGTATTTACTCTGCCCAGCTTCTACAATGAAAACTGACATTAAGAAAAAACGTGTTTTGTAGGGGGTAAATTTTAAGAAGAACCACACCAAAACAAACACAATGGCCGAATATTGAACACACAAGTGTTAGATATTTCGGTCAACTTTGCACAACTAATGGGCAATCTTATGAGTGTCCCAATTCAGGTCAAATTATATGTGGGATAATCATTTCTATGTCTGCTACTGTGTGGACGCTAAAGGCTGTTGTGACCTGTGCTTTCAGTGGTAGAAGGAGTATATTTATCTTGCACGTGGACTTCAATGCTAGCTCTGTTGTCATGTCAGTAATACCAAGTTACCCATGTAAATTGGTACAAAACTAGATTACGTACATGAAATAGATCATCTTTATATCCATGCCAACAAATTCCTTTATGATTAGATTTCTAGTTCCCTTAGGGAGAAGTCTCTGACCAACAAGTGTCTATTAAAAATCCTTCAAATAATTGGGTTTCAAAGGGCTTCCTAGACTGATGGGCCACAAATAAAGTCGGAATCCTTGTTAGGCTGATACGACTGTGTGCATAGTTAATTAGAGAAGAGCTGTTTAATCTCGATAAAATAAACTGGATGCCGGTAAAAGAGAAACATGGTCACGATGTTGCTAATGGGTTCTTTCTTGTGTTTCCTTTGCAGAGGAAGGGAAACTTCCCCTGAACAAACACCATCACTCTGCTCACAGATTATCTTCAGCCTCGTGACGACGTGGAGGAAACGCAGTGGGACTGGAGCAATGTTTAAATAGGGTCATGTTTTAGAAGATTAGTGGCAAATTGAGCTGTGACTGTGCTGGAGCTACAAACCAATCTGTCCGGATCGGGACTTTTATTTAGTGATGAAAAGGTGAAGGAAGAAAACACGAAACAGACCAGAGAAAGTCCTAAAAAAAAATGTTTTTAGCTTGAATAAAACTAATTTGTCTTCCATATAATTTGATGTTGTTGCCACAAAAGAGAACGTTTAAGCTGCATTTGAATTCTTGTAAAGTATTTTGGCAAAGCTGTATATATATTTTTCTATACATTTGCTTAATAAATATTTAATAATGCAACAAATAATGCATCTGTGCTCATTTTAGCATTAGGAGGAAAATATTTTCAACATATTATATTAAAATGGATCAGATAAGAATCTTATCATTAGAAAACTGTAGTTATTAATTAGTGTTATTATCCAAATTGTTTTATCTTTTTTTAAAATGCATTAAATGGGTTTGGCTCTCCTGTAATTGAAGTTTAATGACACTATTTATGGGTACATAACAGGTAGATTTTGTTGTTTACCTTAAGCACAATAAGTCTGTTCTTTTCTTGGCTTTGTCTTAAATATGGAATGCAGCCTGAGGTTACTCCATGTCATTTAGTTCTGTATTTAACACCAATAATTTACAAAATCTTCGTCTGTCTGTTTTAACCAAACATACCTTCGTCTGACCCACCTGAGACATACCTAGCGTGTCTGAGAGCCTGAGTAAATTCCAGCCTTTTTATTTTTCAGTTAAAAGTTGTCACCTGTGTAGAATTTTCTGGCTCTAGGACAATAACAATATATCTTGTCTTTTCATCTTATCCCACAGTAACTGCAGCCTGCAGCAAATGTTTAATCGCTGAACAACCGTTGGACGACCTTTTTTTCTTCCTCTTGGTTGGTTTAGAAAAATAGCTTCATGGTGAAAGTTGTCCCGATGCATTTTATAGTTAATGGAAGTCTCTACAATAATTATTTCGTATTATCCTTCTAACAAAAGTGAACATTCTCAGTTAAACTTTTCAATGACCACATTATGGATTTATATTTCTGACACTGGGAAGCAGAGAGCTGACGTCTGAGAGCTGAGACATGCAACACAATAACATAGAATCTAATAGACATGAAGATCATAAACCCTTTTGTTTATAATTGTAAAATGAGATTTTGGTAATACTAGTCTGTGCACAAGTGCAATATCCTTTTATCATTTTTAGCAGAACTGTATTTATGTGTATTTATAGTTTTATATTTGATATTTTTATTGTATTATGGCTATTAAACATGGCTGTCTCTTCACAAGTATTTACTCATCAAATGTTCTGTCATTCATATTTCATTTAAAAGATATATATTTAAATGAAATAAAAGATACAAAAACACATACATGTGATTTGACTGCAGTGTAAGCAACGGTCTGACTGAACCACCATCACACGTTGAAACGGCATCAGCAGTGCTGCGGTTCTTTCTACGTACTGTGACCAGTTCTGAGATAACATCAGTGTCTCGGCCATGCATGCATGCACAGGCATGTTTCTATGTCTGTGCTCAGTGACACTAACCGAGCGCCACAATAAAAGGTGCATAAACCAAATTTCAACTTTAAACATAAAAACAAATCTTAAAGTGGCCTTTGAAGAAGTAGAAATGTGTTTTTTTTAATTCTCAATTTGCAAAATTCTATCATTTATCATTGTATTTTTTTCAAAATTAGTTTTATACATTTTTGTCTTTGGTTTCTCGGGACTCACTCATATTGTTCCAATGAGCTGTTCTCCAGAAAGATGCAACAAACAAACGAGAATCAAACACGGCTCACACACGGCTCACACACGGCTCACACAGCCTCTTTTCAACTGCCGATAAGTCAGGATTCCCGAACTACAAACCAGAAGCTTAAATTTGTGTTTTCTGTCAGATGGACTCATCCTGCAGCTCACGGTGAACATTTTGGACATTTTACTGCCATTTTCTAAACAGCTAGTAATGATTAGCCGATAACAGAGTAAAAGGCAGGATGATAACCACAATCAGAATCAGAATACTTTATTAATCCCTGAGCAAATTCTGTGGTTACAGTTGCTTCAAGGCAGTAAGAACAGTAACAGACTGAACTAAATTAATTAATACAATAGTATTACAAAGTTACAAAATATAAGAAATAACTCTAATATATAAAAATTTGTATTATTTCTTATATTTTGTAACTTTGTAATATATTGTTTCATTTAACCATGAGGATTTTTTTTTCAGAAACTCTCAAAAATCAAGCAGATTGAGAATCATTTACTGAAGTTTTCTGTACTTTACTTTGTGAAGTGTTATTTGCTAAAATGATTAATCTGAGATTAAAAAGAGTTTTACTGTGGAAATAAACTATGGCACACACAAAGCACCATCGTCTAACTGGAAGTATTTATTGGGGAATTGAGACTTTCTCCTTTCCAATGCTTCTAAAAACCTTCTGAAAATATCTGTATTATATAAATTAAAATAAAATGATGAATCGCCGTCATGAATAGGTGCCACATGCACATTTAAAGAGGATGCCACCAAAACAAAAGAGGACAGAAATCGTGCCTCTGTGCATGTTGACTCAGCAGGGAGAACATGAAATGAGAAAAGTAAAGGAGAGTAAATATTTGAAAGCAATAAAGAATGCCTGGGAGTCTCAGTGTATTATATTTCATTCTATTTTGAATTCTCACCTGCTGCCTGAATTTTGTCGTTTTCCTCCATAAATTGATGCAAAAATGGAAATGATAGAGAAAGTTGGAATGTTTGATGCTCAGAATTAATGGAAATGTTTTTTCTTTATTCTTTTTTTAAACAGGTGTGTCAGAGGAAAGGTGCAATTGGTGGGAAGTAATGTCCTACTGTGAGATGCTGCTGTGCTTGTTGTGCGTCATGTTTAGGTGTGTGTGTGTAACTCTGACCAACATGTAAGGATCCAGCTGAACACTAAATTGTAATGAAATTACAATGGGTGATTTTTATGCACCTCAGCTACCAGTGAAACTCGATTTCTCATGTTTCATTTGCTTGACTCGCAAAAAACCCCAAAAAACAAAACATTACAGATCTTTAACTGGTTCTAAAATAATTTTTTGTTGAAAAAGCACAAACCTCCTAAATCAGGAAAGAAGTCCAGTTTCATTCTCGTGAGTTGCTGCTGCAGTCAGGAGAAGCTTCCTGCAGGTAAACAACAAAAAAAAGTAAGATGATCCATCAGCAAACAGCTCAAAGTAAACAGAGGCTGCCCATTAATACCTGAACAATCTGAGTCCCTCTGAGACCCAGGCTGACAGAGCAAACAGCGGCTCATTGTTTAAAACTCTTTAGGAAGCCTTTGAGTCATTTAGGAAGCAACTTGAGTCCCACTTGTCTTTTCCATTATCTGCTTTGAGCTGCTCATTGAGTCTGCAGCTTTCTGTCTGTGCAGGTGGGGCTGCTCACGATTTTTGTCTTCTCACACAGAAAACCAAAGCGTATAAAAAAATAGAGAAAAAAAAGTAATTATGAAATGAAAATTATGGCCATTTATGGCTGGATTCATTTGCATTAAAGTAGGCTATTGTTGTCTGTTAATCTGTCTTTTGTGCTTTAACTTAAACCCTCCCTTTCGTGTATTGTGCGACATGCTTTCACCTTTTTGTTTCATTGTATTTCATACCCTTTGGTTACCTTTAACA